GTATAGATTTAATCTGACAGTGATTAAAATCACTATCATAAGAAACGCTTCGATGCAAATCTGTAGATAGTGTTTAATTTTTAAAAATTGATGGATAATAGCAAAAGCAACATCAACTTCTATTAAAATAAAATACAAAACCCATAATTTTCATACAAAAATAGCATATTTTTGAATATGGTAGCCATTTGCGTATAGAAGATAGATCGTCGGGACAAATTTTTTTTTTTCATTTTGTAGTACATAAAATAAGCTTTAATTTTATATATGTTTAAAGGACGCAGTATTCCGGAACATTTTCAAAAATTAAGTTGAAAAAGTTATTTTTTGTAAAAAAGTTACTATTTTAAATCCTCCCAGTGAGCAGAATAAGTGTTAGATTTTCAAAAAAAATTATATCAAATGAAAGGGAAATATCTAAGGTTTCAATAGAAAAAAATATTATTTGTATTTGTTCATTTTTGAAAAAGTTATGACAGTTTTTAGTAGAAAAAACATCCCGATAAAAGGTAATTTTTATCGCAAACATTACATTTTTTTTTAAATTTTCGACAGCCATTTGCACATAGAAGATAAGATGTCGGGACAAATTTTTTTTTTTCATTTGATAGTATATAACATAACCTTTGATTTGATATATGTTTAAAGGACGCAGTATTTCCGGAACATTTTCAAAAGTTCAGTTGAAAAAGATCTATGTTTTTTACAATATTTTAAGTTTTCAACGCCCCCTATGTAAGGGGAAATTGTCCAATTTTAATAAAAAGTATGTCAAATAAAAGATGTACTTATAATGTATTTAGAAAAAAAAAATTTGTGCTGATATATACATTTTTCAAAAAGTTATAGCATTTTTAAGTTGAAAATTTAAAATCGAAAATCGAAAATTTTAACACAAAAATAGTGTTTTTTTAACTACGGCAGCCGTTTAAATGTAGAAGATAAAGTGTCGGGACAATTTTTTTTTTTCATTTTATAGTACATAAAATAAGCTTTAATTTGATATATGTTTGAAGGACGCAGTATTTCCGGAACATTTTCAAAAATTAAGTTGAAAAAGTTAGTTTTTGTAAAAAAGTTGCAATTTTAAATCCCCCCCAATGAGCAGGTTAAGTGATAGATTTTCAAAAAAATGATATCAAATGAAAGAAAAATATCTAAGGTTTTAGTACAAAAAAATTATGTTGATTTGTTTATTTTTCAAAAAGTTATGGAAGTTTTAAGAAAAAAAAGTGAAAAAATTTCGAAAATTAGCGATTTTTAAATTTGTAATTTTTTTGGATATTTCCCCCATTTGCGGGGAACGAGGGAANGGAAGTTTTAAGAAAAAAAAGTGAAAAAATTTCGAAAATTAGTGATTTTTAAATTTGTAATTTTTTTGGATATTCCCTAATTTGCGGGGAACGAGGTAATTTTTTCAATTTTTAAGGGTAACGTCTTCAACTAGATACGATTTGTGATCCTTTGACGTATTTTTGAAAGAAATCGGTCCAGTGAGAGCTGAGAAAAAGTGGCAACAGACATAAAAAAAAAAAAAAAAAACACATAATAGTAAAATTAATATCTTCTCCGCTTCGTATCGAAGCTAATATTATTAAAAATTTCTAAATAAGCCATTGGCCAGTACAAATTTGTATTCATTAACTTGAAAACTTAGTAATGAGTTGTAATTAGTTCATAGTTTTTTGGTATGATTAGGGAGTTTACTCACTCCCTAAAATAAAAAATATTTATGCTACTATATAAACCTATGGCAATATTGTACAAACTTGGGACCCTCTAAAGTGGTTAAAAAAAATTATAAATGTATATAATTCTTAGCACTACATAAACAAATAGTTTTTACTAACAGTTAATCGATCTTTATATTTTTCTTCAACGTTATCAATCGAAATGACAGAGTTTAACATCGCCCTTGCTTGTTTAGGAGACACATTTTTGTCTTCAATTTTGATTAGACTTTCAAGATTATTGTATTTAGTGCGATAGTTTTTCACATCTTTTCTCAAACTTTTAACTTCTTCGATAAGTGCCATATTTTCTTCTATAATTTGATAATGAGAATCACTTTTTTTATTGCATTTTTTCATTTTTCTTCTATGAGATGCTATTAATTTTTCTAAATATCCTCTTTGTCTAGAAAATTCTATTCGGGAATTTAATTCTTCATACTTGGTTCCATTAAATGATTTTTCTTCTGCGTATTGGTGATATAATTTCTAAACGTCACATTATTATATGATAAAGTAGCAACATACAATGTGGACAGAATTATTGATTTTTTTTTGTTAAATAATGATATTTTCATAAAAAAGAAATAAAGTTTTTTTTTTTTTGAGATAAATGTAGTGTATATTGTAAAAATATATTTTATTAAGGTTAGTTATTTTCTTTCAACTAGGGTCAAGTGGGGTAAATGGAAATTGGGGCAAAAGGAAAAAAATATTATTTAAAATAAATTATTAGTGATTATAGAATTCGGTATCATTGTAACCACAGTACACATAAGGTATAATAGTGTGCAATGAAAAAAATATGGAAAATTTGAGGATATGTATAAATTGTTATCACTCGAAAAAGTGTTTATGATTATTTTAGATTATATTTTCTGCTCAACTGCTTTTGAGAAGGGCATCTTCATCAAAAATGTAAGTAGAACAGTACAGTTTGAACTAAATTGTCATTTCATATTTACTTATTTACTATACGGCCCTAAAACTAGTTTAATATCACTTTTTCCATGGAATTATATTTTTTTTGTAAAATACAAAATAAAAATCAATTGGGGTAAATGGAAATATTAATAACAAATATAATTTGAAATATTACGATCTTTATCATTTTTTTTTCAACTTTAGAGTGCGTAATTATATCAAAAAAAAAACATATTAACAGTTGTAGAAAATAAAATTTCATTAGAACCTTAAACGTCAAACACTTTTATGGACTAAATTTTTCCAACATCAAGTAATAATATCTCAGTAAACCCAAAAGATATAATATCTATTTTTTCAATTCAATTAATACAATATAAAACTAACAATATAATTTGTGTTACAAAAGACCAAGTTCCTCGTCTTAGAGTAACAAAGTATGGTGAAGTTTTAACAAATAAAAATGTGTTAAAATAATTGGAGGAAGCAACCTCAAAGAAAAAGCTAATCAAATATCCTAGTAAACTTGGGAGACATAAGAAAGCTATTAAAGATGTACAAAATATTGTGTTGGAACAATCAATTGATAATATTGATGATGTAGTTTATCATTCATCAGAAGATGATTATAATGACAATTCATTAGATTTAAGTATTGAAGAAGTTTTATACAATACACCAATTTGGTCTCAAATAAAACCTGGAGTATTTCTTTTAATAGATTTTATTGGAGGGAACCGTAAGAAACAACATTTTAAGTATGTATGTTTAGTTAAACGTGTAGATGAAGATGATGGGGATATTTTAGTCCGAGGATTAAAAAAAAATAATGAAATTGGAACTGATTTTTATATTGTTGAAAATGACTTGTCAGATATTACAGTAGAGATGATTCTTGCAATATTACCAATACCAACTGAACATAAGAAGAACAGAAAAACGATATACACATTTCCTGGATACATAAATGTCGATGAAAAATAATCAGTTTAGGCACTATGTTACATACTTATTCATACATTAATTTATGTGATATATTTTGAAACTAAAAATGCTGTTAGTTTGTTATTTTGTTTATAATTTTTACTTTACATTGTTATTTTTTATGTTAAATTATTATTATCACTATTATATGAAAACAAAAGACTGTTAATATATTTTGAAAGTTTATGAAATAGTAAGTAAGCATTAAACTGTACAAAATTATGTTAAAATAATAAAGATTACCTAATTATTTGACTAATTTAATTGTAATTTATGTAATTCAAACAAATTTTCATTTGCCCCAGGCTTATAACATTATCAACTATACTTTATTTTCATTTACCCCATACACAATATACTATTTGGGACAAATGGAAATTTGTAGGTATCGAATAGAAGAAATAATATAATGATAGCTGTAACAGAACAAATTCATTTGCCCATTATGTTTGTTCAATATAACTATTGCTGTTGGAAATAGTTATTTTCATTTACCCCAGAAGTATGGTGCAAATGTAAATTTTTTATGAAATTTTATATTATTTTTTTCTCTTAAAATAATCAACTATTTTAACGTTTGATTGAAATGTTAGACACACATTGTATATAGTTAAATAGTTTTTATCTAAACCAAAATTAAAAAAAATTATTACTACATCAATCTAATAAAAGTTGTAAAACATGTAAATTTCATTTCCATTTACCCCCACTTGACCCTACGTTTTGAATTTTAAGATTTATTTTTTAAGGATTTTGAAATTGATTTTGCGGTATAATAAATTTTATTTTTTACAAATAATTAGCAAAAATCCTCAAAAAACCCTAATTTTTCACCTCGAGAAAAAAATTTTCAAAATATATTTTTAAGAAAATCTAGGGAATACCATTTCATTCTGTATAACACAAGTACCTGATATACTATGTTAATAGTATATTAACATATATAGTTATATATATATATATATATATATATAATATATATAGTTAATAGTACATTATGTTTAGGGCATACTCAAAATTTTTCAATAAGGAAGCTTGCCTCATTTTACCAATTTTACTTTCGATTACTTCGAAACACTTCGCATGACTAAAAAGCAGCTTTGTCCTTTTCGCTCCCTGGATAGGCCTTTAATCAAATGATCTAATGATTGTAAATATCGCTAAATCAACGTATGATAAGTAGGAGTATAAACTTTAAAATGGACCCCTCCTATTTCAATTAAAAAAAAAATGAATTTTTTTTCACTCATGATGTTCCACGGGAAATTTCAAATTTTTAACACACATGTTTAACCTGACCCTCGGGAAAACTGGAACTATTTGTGAAGTTTATTAGAACTACGTGGCAAAAAAGATAAGATAAAAGTAATATTTACTGAAACTACACTTTTCAATATACTTGGATTTTGTAACTTCTGACTGACTTGATGTATGTCACTAACCATACGACTGATTATATTGTTGCTGTTTCGGATTATGTTCTGTTGCTTATGAATTTCTACCTCAAGCATCTGTAAAATTTCTCGTTGTTCTATGAGAAATAGTTCCGTGCGTTTGATAATAATATTCTTTTCGTCTAATTCATTTTCCAACTTCAACCAAATATTAATTAGAGTTATTTATTTATCCGGCAAAAAGTTTTTAAATAAATGTTGATATTGTCAAAAACACGCTAGGTATAATAATTTATTTTAACGCATTTAAGATAACACATATTACAGTTATTATTATAGTTTTAAATTATTGGTCTTCTTTTATTATTTGTCGAGTTACGCGACTCATTGCCGCAGTACATCTTTTTATTTGATATACTTTTATATTACAAACGTATAAATTATATAATTACATAACCAATTTCATTGAACAATAGCTTATTTAGAGACAATGTAGTTTATTAAGAATAATCTAATTAATTAATTGTTTTTTTTTTGTAAGATAACAATGTTTATTTATTTTTACAAAATACAATAAATATTTAATGTTTACAATAAAGTAATTGGTTAAAGTAGTTATGAGAGTTGTTATAAATAATTTAAATAAAAATATAAAATCATTACTTTGTTATTATAAAATTAATAAAGGACATAGCTAAAATTTTAATTTGTAGGTAATATAGATTTGAACAAATAATATTTTTAGCTATATGTGAGAAGAGTGAGCAACGTTCTTTATCTATCCGTTAAAGAAAAAAATAAAATCAGTAAGCACTAACCTACTTCTTTCTAAATCTTTAATTACTTTTCTCAATTAAATCTGTTTATCTCATTGCTAAATACACTAGTCAAATTTCTATTCCATTATTATTGAAATTATAAAAAATGACTAAAGATTGTGAATAATTTATCTTTAAATTTACAAATTTGATCGCTCAATTTCTATTTAAGTGATATTTTTTTCTTGTAATATAAAAAGACAATATTGCTTCAATTGTAGCAAATAAATCCAATCATTAATAAATATAAATAATGTAAATTTTGAAAATATCATAAAAATTTAAATAAAAATACTTATAATGAATAGGGTAAAATAGGGAAAGCGGGGCCCAAGCTGAATACCGATGAACTAACCTATGACAGAAGGAGATCCTGTCCTCCTTCACCAAGTCTTAAAGAGGGAGTGGATATTGAAATTTAACATAAATTAACCTAATGTAATGGGGTGGGTGAGGATGAAACACGACGTAAAATAACACAAATTGTCACATGCCTATAGATAGTGTGTAATAAATTTATTATTTTGCGGAAAAATAATTGATTGTTGTTGATGCGCTGGAGCATCCGAAACGTTCGTCATCTTCAACGTCTTCTTGAAAACGCTTATACCACTCGTCAACCCTTGTGTTACTCATGTCACATTCACTATAGGCTTTTGTTAATAATTCACACATTTTGTTACACTAAATTTGATACAAATGCTTTAATCCATTTTTTTTAACAAACGAATATCGCCGAGGTCATAAAAATACATCTAACCTTGGTGGCTGCTACTGATAAAGTAAAAAATGAATCCAGCTGTAAATTTTATCATACTTTAGAGACATGTGTATCAACATTATGAAAAATAATTTTTGATAATCACTCTCTAAACCCTCAAAATTTATAAATATACATTATTTTCTGAACACACATCATATATTGTAGACAAAAAAGTACGTCAAAAGATCACAAATCGTATCTAGTTGGAGACATTACCCTTAAAAATTGAAAAAAATTCCCTCGTTTCCCGCAAATGGGGGAAATATGCAAAAAAATTACAAATTTAAAAATCGCTAATTTTCGAAATTTTTTCACTTTTTTTTCTTAAAACTTCCATAACTTTTTGAAAAATCAACAAATCAATATAATTTTTTTTTATACTAAAACCTTAGATATTTTTCTTTCATTTGATATCATTTTTTTGAAAATCTAACACTTAACCTGCTCATTGGGGGAAATTTAAAATAGCAACTTTTTTACAAAAACTAACTTTTTCAACTTAATTTTTGAAAATGTTCCGGAAATACTGCGTCCTTTAAATATATATCAAATTAAAGCTTATTTTATGTATTATAAAATAAAAAAAAAAATTTGTCCCGACGACCTATCTTCTATGCGCAAATGGCTACAGTATTTAAAAACATGCTATTTTAACAAATTTTTTTTTTTTAATTAAACACTATCTACAGATTTGCATCGAAGCGTTTTTTATGATAGTGATTTTAATCACTGTTAGATATCATCTATACTGGACCCAACTATGCCACGACCCCACTATGCTGGGTTTTTTTTTAAAAACTGTATTTTTTTCTATTAATTGTAAAAAAATTAAATAGAAGTTGTTAATTACAGTAATAATTCAGCCTAATTATATGTAACATTTAGTGATAAATGCGGTATAAGCAATTACAATTGTATAGATTATAATAGCATTACAAACATTAGAATATATATTCCAGTTATTTTTGTCAATGGTGGTAGAGGAAGTGTCAGATATGGCAATGTACACAAGTGTTGGTGGAATAAGCTATTTCTCCCATTACATTAGGTTAGTTTAGGTTGGAATTATCCCCCCCCAGACCATGCCTTTTCACAACCCACCATTGGTAGGCGGTTGAGTTGCGAGGAGTCCAACTTTCCCTATATTACGGTATTAATAATGTGATTCAAACTAATTAATTAATTGAATATGAACAGAATTATTTACTTACATCAGATATTGCTTCTTTTTTAGCTTGAAGTTCTAATATTAATGGTTCTACCGCCTGTTCCATATCTTGTATGTTATGTTTCAACACATCGGATTCTTTCTCCAATTCTTTCAACTTTAAATTTTCTTCGAATAATATATTGTTTTTCTCTTGAATGATTTCATCTCGACTTTTTATTTGTTTTGAAATATCGTACTTAATACTTTTCTTCTCATTGACTGTTGTTTTCAACTGTTCTAAATCTTCGTCATATTTTTCAATAAGATTAGTCAAATTTTCTATCTCTTCTAATGCACTATGTTAAAAACTAAATAAATTCATAGCTAATGTTTATTTTTAATTTTTATATTTACGTTATAGTTTTCATTTTGTAAGTTCCTAATTGTCCTCTAAGATTTATGTTGATCTTCTTCAGTTCTCTAATTTTGGTCAAATAATTTGTTTTTTTTTCTAGAAAGTCTCGATCTACATCATCTTCGATTTGTTCCATTAACATAATAGTATTATTTTTCTCCATTATCAAGTTTTCTTTGATCTAAATAATATTAACATATCTTATTAATATTGTCCATTGTTTATAACAAATTTAATGTATATTATCAAACTAGCTTTTTAAATTCATAAATGTGACAAAATTCTTCTATAGTATATTTACTATACATTAATTTATACATTATATTATAATATAATATATATATTTATTAGGGTGGTCCTTAAAATACAAATTTTCAAAATTCGATTTACGCGCACCAAAAAATTGTTCTAATACATGTAAAAATAAACTGTGCAAAATTTGGTCTCGATAGGTTGACGTTAACACGTGCCACAAGAGGGTTGAAAATTCGATCAAAAGGGTAGTTTTTCAGTTATTGTGCTTTATCTCAAAATATATGATTTTTACGTAAGAGTTTACAAGAAAGAAATTATACATATAATTATTTTACATAAAAAAGATTATTAGCAAAAAACCCATAAGTCAAATATTTACCCCCTAAAAGTCAAAAGTTCCATAAATATTATGTTTACAAGTAAAATTCATATATTTCGGCAATTTAAGTATATACGATGAACCGTTCAAGTTATAAAAAAAATTTTCANAATGAACCGTTCAGGTTATAAAAAAAATTTTCATGTAAAAGTTATTTGAAATTTAATTTTCTATTAGTTTTGTAGAAAAATAAAATTGTTTTACGTGTTTTCTGGCGAGGTAATAAAGAAAACTTATAAATAACAATCATTTTTCTATCATTTATCATTTTTTGTTTAGATAATGTTGTTGAGTTAAATTTGTTTAGTTCCTCAGAATATGAAACAGAAGATGATTTGTCTGGTTCATCATATTCTTCAAAAACACGAGGGCTTATAACTTTTATGAATCCTAAATTACTTTCTGCATTAGATCAATGCAAGATATCTGACCGCGATGCTGTGCATTTAATTATTTCTACTGCTGAAGCATTAGGTAATAACGTATCAAAGTTAATAATCAACCGATCAACTATTCGACGGGAAAGATTATTTTTTAGTGAGAGAAAGGTAAATGAAATAAAAANTGGGAAAGATTATTTTTTAGTGAGGGAAAGGTAATTGAAATAAAAAAAAATTAAATTTCTCGATAAAAATAGTCTTGTCTTGCATTGGGATGGAAAACTACTTCCAGGCATTATAAATAGAGCTAAAGTTGATCGATTGCCAATCTTGGTATCATTTGAGGGAGTAAGTCAATTACTTGGGTTCCCAAAAATTGAGAGTGATTCTGGCGAGAATCAGGTAAATGCAATTTTTGATTTATTACAAGTTTGGGATGTAAAAAATAAAATACAGGCCTTGTGTTGTGACACAACAGCTTCTAATACAGGTCGCTTAAATGACGCTTGTATATTGCTTAAACAACTCTTAGAGCGCAATTTGTTGTATTTACCATGTCGTAGACATATTTTGGAATTAGTACGAAAAAATGTTTTCAAGGTTAAACTTAATTTATGTACAACTGGTCCAGTAGTATCAATCTTTAAAAATTTAAAGAATGTTTGATTAGTCTAGATTTGTTGAATTTTGATATTGGTATCAATCATATAATTATCNGATTTGTTGAATTTTGATATTGGTATCAAACTCACTATTTTGTCATGAAGACTACGGTATCATTAGAGGCGGGACGTCTTTGGCTGTGCGGCACTTGCTGGACTTTGCACCGCGGCGTAAAACGCGCGGTGTTGGTTAGTCAAATACTCAAATAAAAATTTATTTATATATATATAATTGATGACACGCGCGCGTCTACGGGTTGGAAAATATTGTTGTCGACGAGAGGTGAGCGGGGTGGGGTGAATGCATTACGACCGTCTAGTCTCAAGGCCGTAGACACGTGCGCGTGGAAAGTTACAAACAAACAACATACATGTGAAATTAATATAAGGGTCTTAAAAAAGTTATGGCATGTTTAAAAAAAAAATTAAATAAATGAAAGAACCGATTTTTAACATAATAGAAATTTCGTCCATTTACGGGGAACGAGGGAAAAATTTTCAATTTTTGAGGGCAATGTCTTCAACTAATTACAATTTGTGATCCTTTGACACATTGTTCATTAAAATCAGTCTAGTGAGAGCTGAGAAAAAGGGGCAATAGACACAAAAAATTTTAAAAAACGGAAGCACAGTATAGACGTGGCATAGTTGGTACAAGTATAGATGATATCTGACAGTGATTAAAATCACTATCATAAGAAACGCTTTGATTCAAATCTGTAGACAGTGTTTAATTTTAAGATATTGGTAGATTATTTCAAAAGCAACAATAACTATTATTCCCATAAATTTATCCCGATTAGTTATTTGATTTATAGTTATATTATATGAATAAATAATAATTATAGTAATTAAATTTAGTATGAAATTGATATTTAATAATTTAATGTTATAATTTTTACGCAGATATTATAAAAATATTAAAGTAATTATAAATTTCTTTATTTATAACAAAGTTATAAGTTTTATACACTGGACTACAAGGAACTCTCATCAGAAACAAAAATATACTTTTCTAAATCAACTTTTCGCAATGTTTTAAATGTGCAATTAGACTTTTTCTATCACTTCTATTTTAATAATATTATTTATTATTAAAAAATGAGAATTTGCATATAAAAAAAAAATAATTAAGAACAAAAAAAAAAATTAATATTCATTTTGATTATAAATATGTTAAAAATAAGGAAAATGGCATATTTAACCTATTTTTTTAATCCTTTAAGTTGATTTTTGTGAAAGTTTATAGTAAAAAAAAATTATTTATTACCATAACTTTTAGCTCATTTTGCAAGTTTGAAATTGTCATCATTAAATAGAAAATTTTATGAGAATTAAAAAGATAGTTAAGATTAATATGCGGTCAGGAAATTTTATAATTACTATTTATAGTAAATTTATCAGAGTAGCTAAATATTTTTTTACATTTTTATCGTTATAGATGACTTAAATAGAAAAATTCCTTGCCATATGCTGGTTGGAACCCAAGCGCGTTAAACACAAGTATTACCGTACGTCGCTTCCATCGGCTGAAAAAAATGGCAATTTAAGCTAGTTCAAATTTCAAAGTTATTTTTCTCGACTTAAAAAAAGCAAACAAAATTAAATAAGTTTAACTTTCTATGCTATATCAATTTGATTTATATAATATTTATAAAAATCAGTGTACTCCCTTTGTCAGTTATTTTAAATTAAAATAAAATACAAAACCCAGAATTTTACACACAAAAATAGCATATTTTTGAATACGGAAGTCATTTTCACAATGAAGAAAAATTCAGAGGTCAAATTTTTTTTTCAAAATGAAGTATATTACATAGGTTTTAATTTAAGGTGTATATAAAAGTATCAGTATTTCCGAAACATCTTCAAAAGTTAATTTTTTGTAAAAAAGTTACCATTTTGGTACCCTTCCTGTGGGCTGATAAGGATCAAATGTTCACATAAATAAATCTAAAGATAGGTAAATACCTAATGTATCTACAAAAAAAAAAATTATATTGATTCGGTCATTTTTAAAGAGTTATGGCAGTTTTAATTAAAAAAAATTGAAAAAATGTCGAAAATTATCGATTTTTAGATTTGTAATTTTTTGGGGGATTTCCCCCGTTTACGGGGAACGAGAGAATTTTTTTTATAGCCTTTAATTTTTATAATTTCTCCGTATAAAGTACACTATTAAATTATTGTATATCAAATTCATACTAAATTAATTACTATAGTTAGTATTTATTTATATATTATATAAATAAATTAAAGGACCACAAATCAGGATATAATTAAGGAAATAGGAATTTGATACTTTTGTAATTATCCATCAATTTTTTAGAATTAAACACGATTTACAGATTTTGATCGAAGTGTTTCTTATGATAGTGATTTTAATCACTGTAAGGTATCATCTATAATTTTCCCAACTATGTCACGTCCATACTTTGACATGTCCCCACTGTGATACGGTTTTTTTTTTTTAATTTATTTACTTTAATAAGATTATTTTTCATAAAATATTATAATTATTATTCATCACACTCAAAAGTTTTTTTTTCGATTTATCATTAAAAAAATATAAATATGTAAAATTACTTTATGAAGTTCTTTATCTTTTTCAGTAAGTCTTTCATTAAAAAATTCAATGAGTTCTTCCAACTTTTGGTTTTGTAAGATTTTAATTTCACTCAAACCTCTATAAATAAAAATTTTTATTATAGTAGAAATATTTTAAATCCTATTTTGAAATTTGCTTGTGCCTCACTGATCGTTTGAAGCTAATACATTTGTAGCAGTTGATTTATTAAAATTAACATAAAAGAAAAAAAAGCCAGTACAGGGGGGTCGCGACTCAGTGGTGATGTGGTATAGTTGAATCAAGTATAATGATATCTGACAGTGATTAAAATCACTATCAAAAAAAAAAAACACTTCGATGCAAATCTTTAGATAGTGTTTAATTTTAAAAAATTGGTGGATTATTCCAAAAGTTACATGATCTGCTAATTCCTAAATCTGCTAAATATCCCTGATTAAGTTCAAGTATGTTGAATAAAAAATGAATTATAAAAAAATATTATTTGTCATAAAAAAATTTTGTTGATCCATACACTATTCAATAAGTTATAGCATTATAGAGTTAAAAATTAAAAAAATAAAATTGTGAATTTTCACACAAAAATAGCATTCGATAGCCATTTTCACCGTGAAAACAAAATAAAGTCCAATTTTTTTTTTTTTTTTTTAATATTAAATTATATTACATAAGCTTTAATTTAAGATATATATAAAAGTGTTAGTATTTCCGGAACACTTTCAAAAGTTAAGTTGAAGAAGTTCATTTTTTGTGAAAAAGTTGTCATTTTGAATCCCCCCCTGTAGGCTGGTAAAGGGTTAAATTTATAAAAAAAAATATACCAAATAATAGATAAAGACATCAAGCATCTATATAAAAAAAAGTTATATTGATTTGTTCATTTTTGAAAAAGTTATGGCAGTTTTAAGTCAAAAATATTGAAAAAATTTCGACAATTAGCGATTCTTAAATTTGTAATTTATTTTGGGATTTCCCCTTTTACGGAGAACGAGGGAAATTTTTTCAATTTTTGAGGGTAATGTCTTCAATAAGATACGATTTGTGATCTTTTGACGTATCGTTGAAAGAAATCCGTTCGGTGAGAGCTGAGAAAAAGTGGTAACAGACACACAAAAAAAAAAAAAAATACATCATAGTAAAATTAATACCTTCTCAGCTTCGCATCGAAGCTAATAAATTATTATTTTGAATTATATGAAATAATATTATATAAAAATTCTGAGTAGATTTATTTTTTAGAAATACAGGATAATTCATTAAGGATAAGACACTTATTTTCTTGGTAACTATTGAAAATTTAAAATTTTGATAAGGAAAATACTGTTTAATTCAAAAAACATAATTTTGTTATCCCTTCAACGTTAAAAAACATTAACTTGAATTTTCTTAAATGGAAACCCTTATTTTGAATTTGTTATTATGATTTAAAATATAAATACTAATAACTTTGCTCTTATAAATTTTTTTTCCGATCAACTGTTCGTCTGTTATAGCTTGTTAATGTTAAATGATTTTGGATTAAATTTCTCCTATTATTTTACTGTTTTGAATACAGGAGTCACTCATTTTCTGTAGTATAACATAAACTAATTTAACTTAATTGAATTTATGAGGTTATGTTACAACTTTAATTACGTATCCGTCAACAAAAATAAAGTTTACTTTGTGTAAGCAATGATTACGATAACATTATTGTATCACAATGCTACAGCGACGCTCCAAATGGTACAAACAGTAACGTAATGTAAAATTGGTGACATAGTTATGGTAAATATGCCAAATCAGCCGCATCGTATGTAATATACTAATCGCATCTAATCGTAGTATTCCATTATTTTAAGAGTGACTATACTACGCGTAGAGTTGGGAATTTCAAAGAAATTAATTCTTTAGTATTACAGTTTATCTTATAAACCAATAGACTGTGCTATTAGTAATATAGTTAAGTCCCGATTTGAATCTATTACTATTATCTATAATTAGTGTGTCGTAAATTATTATTGCTATCTTTTATGTCATATCTTGGTCAATAAAAATTAGTTTATAATAAAAATAGAGTCTTTATAGAAATTTAGTCCAAAATCATTTAACTTTAACAAGCTGTAACAGACGAACAGTGGAAAAAAAAATGAGACCAAAGTTTGTATTTTTATTTTAAATCATAATATCAAATTCAAAATAGGGGTTCCATTTAATAAAATTCAAATTAATGTTTTTTAACCTTGAAGGGATGAAAAAAAATATGATTTTACTACTTATTATGTTAGAATATTTTGAATTAAACAATATTTTCCTTACTAAAAATGTAATATTTTCAATAATTACCGAGAAAATGAGTCTCTCATTCTTAATGAATTACCCTACACGTGTATTTATTACGATTTTACATTTGTAACTTATGTACTTATAATGGTCATTATGTATTCTTGAAAATTATATTATGACTGTTATAGAAGAAATAAAATCTTAAAATATTACAATAATTTAAAAAAAATTACACATATAGATATAAAAAAAAAAAACACAATGGTGTTGCGGCACAGTGAGGGAATGTGGCATAGTTGGAACAAGTATAATGATATCTGACAGTGATTAAAATCACTATCATAAAAAACACTTCGATACAAATCTGTAGATAGTGTTTAATTTTAAAAAATTGATGGATTATTTTAAAAGCTTTTATGATTTATAAATGTAATATATGAATAAATAAATATCTATATACAGAGTGGAATCGATCTAACTGACAATTCATATAACTTATGATCTACATATCATTTTACACTTTATTTTCGTTAATCAACTTTTACAATATAGAATTATATTTGATAATATAACGTTTAACGCGCTTTAAACAGAAATGATTATCTCTAATCTTTATTACAAAAGTTAGAAACATTATCGTTGTCAACTACGAGTGTTCCATGGTTAGCCAAGTTAAAAGTGATAACAATTATTAATTTGCGTGATTCTATCATTGTAATCATATTATTATAGGATATTTCTTGTTAGGAGATTCGATAATAAATGTACTCATTCACTATTATTCTTGTTTCAATTTATGAAATATGAACTTATTTAATTAAAAATTTAACATGTTTTAGACAATGTTTCTATAATTTTTTTTAATAATCTGAATTTTACTACTAATTGTTTTTGTACTGTTACTGTTACCAGTAAATAAAGTAATAAGTGTTTACATAATATGGACTAAGATTTAATACCATAGGAAAATTGTAAAAAAAATCAAAATTTAACAAACTTCAAAATGCTGTATAAATATAACTACTGAATTAAAATAAGAGTTTTTGGTACCAAAATTTTTCTTTAAAACTTATCTATAAAATGGCTATCTTAAAATCTTAAAAAAAATTTAAAAAGAAAAATTAATTTTTAAAATATTTTTTGTAATTGCAAAAAATAACATAAAATATATTTAAAATATAGTCCTATATTGTAAAAATTGATTAAATAAAAAAGTATAAAATGTGTATGTAGATCATAAGTTACATGAGTCAGTTAGATCCGTTTCTCCCTGTATATATTTATAATATATAAAAATATAAAGGGAAATGGTGTTATTAAAAAAAAATTATGTTGTATGAAAGAGGGATATAAATATTATTTCTCATAAAAAATTTTATTGATCCATACATTTTTCAAAAAGTTATAGCATAATAAAGTTAAAAATATGAAAAAGAATTTTTTTACAAAAATCGTATTTTATTCTATTAACTTTGATGACTGTTTTTACCATGAAAACAAAATAAAGTCCGAAATTTTTTTTTCCTTATTAAAGTATATTACATAAGCTTTAATTTAAGGTATATATAAAAGTGTCAATATTTCCGTAACACTTTAAAAAGTTAAGTTAAAAAAGATAATTTTTTGTGAAAAAGTTGTCATTTTATCCCCCTGTTGGGCAGGTAAAGGGTCAAATTTAAAAAAAAAAAGTATATCAAATGATAGATGAAGACATTAAGCATCTATAAAAAAAATTATATTTATATATTAGCTTCATATCGAAGCTAAAATAAAAAAAAACCCAGCACAGTGGGGTCGCGGCATAGTGGGGATGTTGCATAGTTGGGTCCAGTATAGATTTAATCTGACAGTGATTAAAATCACTATCATAAGAAACGCTTCGATGCAAATCAGTAGATAGTGTTTAATTCTAAGAAATTGGTGGATAATTACAAAAGCTACATTATCTGCTAGTTTCTTATTAATACCCTGATTAAGATAAAGTATGTCGAATGAAAAAGGGATTATTAAAAAATATTATTTCTCATAAAAAAATTGTGTTGATTCGTACACTTTTCAATGAGTTATAGCATTATAAAGTTAAAAATGTAACCAACCCAACCCAACATCAACTCCTATTTCCTTAATTATATCCAGATTAGTAATTATTTTAATTATATATTATATAATTTTTATAATTAATTATTTTCAAATTATTATTGATTTTTAATATGTTAAAAGTAATCATTTTGAACCTACTTCTTTTTGTTCTTTAAAGTGAAAGTTTTAATAAAAAAAAAATGAATTTATTACCATAACTTTTAACTCAACTTGCAAGTTTGAAATAAATATTATTAAATAGAAAAAAAT